CATGGAGTTGATTGCCAGTCTCATCATGGGGAATAACTACCACCAGCTGCCCAGCCACTCAACCAGGCCCAGCCAAGTAGACACACAAACATAACTACCACAATGACTTTATCTTCTGCCTTCATTTTCTCATATGCTTCAAATTCTTCTGTGAAATGGATATTACTATATTACCTTTCTGTTTGCGCTGTTGGGAGGTCTAAAAGGGAAACTAAACAAGAAAACACACATAAACGCTGTCAGATTACCCAATAAGAAAGGTAAATGTTACTGATCTGTAGTGAACAATTTCAATGGGTTTCACCTTCCTTCCTGGTAATCCACCTTCACACATAAAGCACTTAGAAGAATGCCTGGCACATACTAAATATTTGCTGTTGTTAATACTGCCAGTATTGTCCTGAAGGTAGCTAGACATCTCTAGATGGTTTTAAGTAGAGAAGTGACAAGTCACATTTGCATTTGGTAAGATCACTCAGGGGCAAGTGAAGATTGTAGGAGAGAATACTGGAGGCAAGTAGACAAATCAAGAAAACTGTCTCACTTAAGAGTCTAGCAAAGAGGAAAGGCCTGCCCCACAGTACCAGTGATAGTGAGGACCTAGAGACTTCATAGTATTTAAAAGAATAGATGAGTCCTGGTGCCCGTTTGAATGTGGGAGGTGGAGAGGCAGGAGTCCAGGATGACTCCCACATGAGGCCTTTAAGGTTAGTTTTCTTCCTCAAGTCTTCTCCATCCCTCTTTCCATTCTCCAATAACAAAAAGGCCATCAAAACACATTTTCTTTTAAAATTTTATTAAATTTAATGGAACATTTGATATCTTTTCTTTTTTTATTAACCCCAATACAAAAATACAGTTGATGACTTGACAAAAATTGTTCTACCTAGGGTTTGAAGGTTTGTTTCTTCAACAGTAACAAGGGAAAAGCATGCTTTCTGCTAGGGCTGAGACCAAGCACACAGTCATTCCTGCACACACACGTGCAAACAGGGAAGCCCAAGCAGGTGAGGAGGAAGGATGTCACAAGAATTCGGGAAGAAGCCAAAGATTATTCCCAGGAGGAGAAGTGGTAAAACAGGGTACTTTCCTCAGTAGGGGGAAGAATTGCTGATTTACATTTACCATTTGCTATTTTTTAAAAAACAAAAACAAACAAACAAAAAAACCCAATCAGTTATGTCAGCAATTTAAGCATGTTAGAAAAGATGCTATGGGCCTCCTTTCACCACTAAGGTTAGTAAAGCAGGAGGAAATGGGGAGGGGAAAAAAAAAATTCAAACACCTAAGTGTTAGGAGTAATCTTCCAAGTTGCTCTTAAAGCTCAAGTTTTGTGTCAAAAGGGTTCAATTTTTACATTCAATGACAAAATGACATTTAGGAGCTAGGGGGCAGAAGGAAGTTGGCTACACTCTGCTAGATTAAAAAACATGGAGACCAGCTTGCTAGCAGAACTCTTCCATAGTCAGAATGCTCCTTCCAGTGTAGGTAGAGCAAGATTTCTTTGCTGTTTTAATGGTTTTTACAATTTCACAATATTCCCTTTTCTGCTGCTTTCTTTCCAGAACACTAACTTTGATGGAAGAAAGGATACATCCATATTACAATTCATCTTCAAGATGTTTCTCTCTGAAGGCATCACCTGTCAGTCTTTCCTGAGCTTCCTTCATTCCCTGAACAACTGTGAAATAAAGGTTGGAGGAAAAAAGTATGAAGTAGGTGGTTAATATCTGACATGTGATGAGCAATGTACACTCCTAAATGTTTAGGAGAAATATGAGAAGCAAAGGATCTAGACTCAAGATCTCATTCTGAATTTTAGCCCTGGCAAGTCATTTACCTCTTTGAATTTGTCTCCTCATCTATAAAATGAGATAATGCTACTTACTGCATGCAGATATATTACAAAAATTAAATGACAATGGATAATAAAAGTGCTTTATTAACTATGAAATCCTATAAAAATATGAGTGTTTATCTTTGGCTTATCTTTTAGGATTACAGCTGATCTCTTGTCATAGACTACAGATGCTGTCCACCTGACACTAATGGAATAGAGAATACCTTCCTACTACCCCCATTGTGTCTATTGGATGAATGTGGCATTTATGTCCTTTCTTATGAAGGTTACAGGTTACACTGCTGGGATGGTGTGTGTGTCTATCTGTCTGTCTGTTTGGAGGGGACATGATCTCCACTGAGAGGGGTGGTCCTTTCTAGGAACAACCATACATGGAAAAAGTATGTTTTCAGGTGAAAAAAAAGAGGAGGAGGAGGAGGAGGAGAAAGAGAGAGAAAACTTGGAAGTAGAGCCTTAGGGAGCCTAGAAATGAAACTTCTTTATCTCCAGGCATAAGGAGGACAGCCCTCCTATACAATAGCAGGCCAGGAACTAGGGTGAGTCAGAATCCATGAATTTTGGAAAGCAAGCCATACGAGCCAGATAATATTGTTTATTTCCCTTTCGTTTTGCCTAAGACTTTAGTAAAGCTAGGTTTGAAAGTTCCTGTTTCATGTCAGCTAAGCCATTCAGGGAAGTTCTATGTCCATATTTGGACTTCTGTGTTAAAGGACGATTCCAATGTGAAGATGAAAACGGTAACTTACATGAAATTCAAAAGGGAAAGGACAAGAGTTGGGGAGCTAAAGTCCAGTTGCCCTTCTTCATTTAGGAATATTCCTTTCTTCTATTATCAATCTCAGTGGAAAGAGGCGATAACCTCCCCAGATTCCCTCTCCCTCCCTACTCTGAGAAATAAAGAGTGCCAGGGGCTCAAAATATAGTGATCAACCTGGCAGCATGTGGTGGAGGAAGAGGCAGACCCATGACACAATTCTCTTTTATAGATGGGGTAGTATGGGGTTTGGACTTTGAATGGAAAATAGTAACAGCATGGCATGGATTCCAATCCCTGCCTCCAGAATGATTGACAACTGTATTCAAGAGTTAAGAGAACAGGAAAGCACGATTAACATGACTGCCTTCCTCCTTCCTTCACTTGTTTGTGTTAATAATGTTCTCTTTGCCTGGACCATGTTTTCCTCTCCTTGTCGTGGCTAGATCTTGTTCTTCACGTCCCAATTCAGTCTTCAACTCCTTTACCAAGCCTTATAGACTCTCCATATTAGGATCCATTCCCCAGCACCCCTTTCTTTTTATTTATTTATTATGATTTGGGTGAAGATTTACAGAGCAAATTCACTTTCCATACAGCAGTTCACACATACTTTGTCTCATGTCATTGACCACAGTTTACCACAATGCCAACAGCTCCCCTCCCACTTCCTCCCCATAGTTACATCATCCCAGTGACCATCTCTTCATACTCTCCTGCGCCCTGAGCTGTCTCCCTATGCATAAGCAGCCCTTCCTTCTCCCATGACTGTTCTCTGCAGGGCGTGTCTACTTGTTTAACTCACATGCCTCTTTGTTTGGCTGGAAACCACAGGTGTGGGTTCAATTCCAGACCTGAAGGGCAGCTAGGGGCCATAGTCTCAGTGGTTCCACCAGGCTCTATCGGACCAGCAAACCTGGTCCCAACCATCTTTTTTTTTTTCCCTCCAAATGATTTTGAGTTTTGTTCCACATTGTTCTCCCTCTCTATCCAGGATCTCCTACATAGATCCCCTTCCAAGTGGATGACAGTGGTAGCCGGGCACCATCTACTTCTTCTGGTCTCATAGTTGTATAGGTTGCAGATCGGATGGTGTACCAGTCACTAGGACTGATTGTTTCCATTAATTTTGGTTTTCTTCTTTCTTCTTGACGAGGAGAGACCCATCGTTGCATCTAGATGGCAGCTTCCTATCTTTTAAGATCCCAGTTGCTACTCGCCAAAGTAGGAGGTGGAACAATGTTTTGTATAGTATGTTATGCCAATTGAGCTTGATGTGCCCTGTGACTATGGTCCCAAGCCCGCAGGATCAACTACTTGGTCCCTCTGGGTAGCTGGCTGTGACCAAGCAGTGACCACAACTTTGCCCCTTGTCAGCTCTGCTATACACCTGGGGATTCTGATCATTCACATAAACTTATAGGACCATTGTCTGCCAACCCTATATATGATCTTGGATATACTCCCTCTTTTGTAGACATACCTAATTGTTTAGCCTGTCCACCTATCTATCCATTCATATACCCATGTTTGCCTTCACTGAGAACTCAGTACTGTATATGCAAAAGGGTTCATATTTGTTGTCTGTACTTCCCATGTACCTCTCTCTGTCTTTCTCATCCTCAATGCTGCCATATTGGTCACTCAATTTTGGTACGTTGCCTTTCTCTTCACCCAAATCAATATCTATCTCTATCTATCTAACAGCGTTCCCTTCCCTCCCCTCCCATCCCTGGTAACCAACAAAGAAAATTTCCTTCAATAGATAAACCTTTCCTTAACTTTTACAATAACGGACTAATACAATTATTTGTCCTTTTGTGATTGACTTATTTCACTCAGCACAATGTCCTCCAAGTTCACCCACATTATGCGGTGTTTTGCAGATTCTACATTATTCTTTAGGGTTGCATAGTATTCCATTGTGTGTATGTACCATAGTTTGGTTATCCATTCCTCAGTTGATGGACATCTAGGTTGTTTCCGTGTTTTGGCTATTGTAAATAGTGCTCCCAGCACTCCTTTCTGCAACCTGAAATGTCCTCCTCGTATCTTTCCATAAAGACAAATCCTTATCCTTCTAGGTTCAGTGAAGGCTTAATATCTAAGAAAACTCTTAGACATGCTTAGCTAACAGTTAGTATTCCCTTTCCTCTGGATTTTTACAGTAAGAGTAGTGTTAGGGCAATGGGGGAAAAAACTAAGTTCTGGACTCAAACACTGACTCTGTGACTTAATTGGAAGACCAGTCACATGGGCAGCAAGTGACTACCTCTGTGAGTCTCAGTTCTTCATAGTTTCCTATGGGTCAGCTAGGTCCCCAACTGGATTGCAAATCACTGGGGAAGGGACTCAGTCTCATATTTCTCCTATATCCTACACAGGCTCCAGCTAAGAGCTAGTCACACAGATGTTCAGCTAACATGCTGAACTGAGTTTCCTATTAAAGACCTTACATGTGCCTCATCCTATTTAAATCTAGCAGCAACCCTTTCACTTGTTTTAACACAGGTGTACCTTGCTCAGCACTGATGTAGAAATACTTGTAGCTGGGGTTTCCATTCTCATTGATGATTTCCGGACGCACCTTCCCACTGGGATCTATCACAGACAAAATAGCAGAAGAGTTGCAGTGATTACAATGGAGAGGTCCTTTAGTATTACATGGTACTCTGGGCCCTCTAGAAATGGAGCCTGCCCATCTTTGCAGCTCATCATCTCACTATTACCTATCCCTGAATGTAAGCCCCCATGCCTTGGCACATGCCATTCCCTGTCCCTGGCATGTTTCTTTTCTCTCTGACAATGTCAGGATGCTGTATTTTTATTTGTACCCCTCATAGAACCTAGCAGAATGCTGAACAGGGATTAGGTTGTCATTAAATATCTGCTGAAAAATTGTGCAAAGACATTTATATGTTTAGTATCCCATAACCTAAAGTTCTCCTTAAGTCTATTGTCTCAGCTGGACTACACTGTCAGGGGTAGGGAATGTGGTTTACCTCTGTCCCGGCAGTGCCTAGCAGTGCTTGGCATATGGATGATGCTCAAATGAATGCATAAATGCGTAATTAATACTCTGCTGTTGGTCATTAAAAGCAATTATTGGGAAAAATTTTCCTTCAAACTTGCAGTTCTAGCATTCAGAACTCCTCCATTTTTTCTTGAAACTTATTTTTTGGGGGCTGACATCCCAGTACAGTTTCACTAGGTGGAGTCAGTGTCTTGATTCATTTCTCTTTTCTTCCATTCCATAGATCCCTAGATTAAGATCTTACACCTTACCCAGGAAGAGGATTCGAGGAATGTAACCCCCATCAGGGCTGAAATCTTCATCTTTGGGCTCCTCTTCATCCTATTAAATGTAAATGTTAAGTCAGATTGTGTCCTTCTCTGATCAAAACCTTTCAATGGCTTCCTATTTCATTCAGGGTAAAACCTAAAACCCCAAGTCCTTATAGTGGCCTATGAGGCTTTACATGTTCTGCTATCTGGGCACTTCTCTAACTTCATGTCCTACCACTTTGCTCCTCTTCAGCCTTCAGTTCTCTTTAGCCACACCAAACTTCTTGCCATTATTGTTATTAAACAAGCCAGGTAAACTGCTAATTTGTTCCTCCCTCTGCCTGGACACATCTCTCCCACTAACAACATGGCTCACATTCGTATCGGATCTTTATTGAAACATCACCTTCTTTTCTGACTACCTATTTAAACTTGCAAACCATTCCCTTGACCCTTCATTTTTAGCCACAGCATTTACTACCATCTGGTGTATTTTATTTTACTCACACTAGAATTTAATCTCAATGAAGACAGGGATTTTTATTTTTTTACGTTTTGTGATTTAGGTGAAGGTTTACAGAGCAAATCAGTTTTCCATTCAAAAAATCCATACACATTTTGCTTCATGCCATTGACTGAGATGCCCACAAAGTAAACAGCATTCATCCCACTTCGTCCCTGTGTTTCCATTTGTCCTTTCCTATCCCTTCCTGCCTTCTGAACTTTACCCTGGGCAAATGCTGCCCTTTTAATCTTGAATGGTTGCCTGTTCTAAGGAATGCATTTCTTTCTGTTGTTATTGTTCACCTAATAGATCTGTTTATTGTTTGGATGACTGTCCAGCCACAGTTTGAGACTTGAAGGGTAATGAAGTATCATAGTCTCAGGGATTCTACCAGCCTCTATCCAACAAGAGAACCTGGCCTTTTTTTTTAGGATTTTGAGTTTTGTTCCACATTTTCTCCCACTCTATCCTGGACCTTCTAATGTGATCCTTTCATAAAAGTCAGTAGTGGTAGTTGGGTACCATCTAATTCTTCTTATCCCAGGGTTACGGAGGCTGACGTTCATATGGTCCATTAGTCCTTTGCACTAATTGTTTCCATGTGTTTTTGATATTCCTCACTCTTCTTTGCTCAGGATGGAAAGAGACCAATAGTTGTACCTTAGATAGCTACTCACAAGCTTTTAAGACCTCTGTCCCTACTCATCAAAGTAGGATGTAGCACATTTTCTTTGCAGACTATGTTGTGTCAGTTGAGCTTGATGTCCTCTGAGAGAAAGCAGGAATTTTGCCTGTTTTATTCACTGCCATATTCCCAGAGCCTACATCACTCACTTGTACAACACAGTATTTCTTAAATGCATAAATTAGTGAGACTAGCATTTTAGCTATAATTATGGAGCTATAGTCCTATCAGGAGATATGACCAAACAAACAGCTTTCTTTTTGAGAAATCTCCAAAGATGGAGAATGCTCACTGAAGACTTTATTTCTGTTTCCTTTGAGTGAGGGGTCCTTGTTTTTTTTTTTTAAGTAGTGAGGAGTTCATGTATATAGGGAATCAATAGCAATTTTACAATTTATCATGTGGTTCCTATTTCAGAAGAGTTAAAATGGGGTCATTTTTTTCAAATTATATTACATCTTTGCCTTGAGTGAAGTGTTATCAGTATTCAGGATACCCATAACTAACATACAATCCCTTAGCTGCCTCGATTTTAACTTTATAATTTTTTTAAACTTTTTAAGCGTTTGTTTCACATTCAACATTATGTGTACATTTAGTTTCACTCCTCACTTACCATCTCCAACCCTAACCCAGTCTCCTCCCCTCCCTGTCCAGTAACCCTTCTCCATGCCCCTCATAGTTATCCACTTCTGTGTGTCCTACATATCCTCTGTCTGAATGTTTCCCCTCTAGTGCCCTGTGGTTGATTGCTCCAAGGGATGCATTTCCACAGATTATGTGGGTGCATCACCCTGGGTTCAGTGGTCTGTATGTGCATCTTGTTAACTATTGGGCTGAGAGCCAGCCCCTGGGAGTGAATTTTATTCCAGGGCCAAAATGTATCCCAGTACCATAGTAATGGGGGTCTCACCAGACTCCATCTGACCAGTAATTCTGGTCATTACTATGTTTTTCGATTTTGTTCCATGTTTTTCCTCCCACTCTATCCATTATTTCCAGTTTTGATCCTTTCCTGAGAGGTTGGCATTGGTACCTGGGCACCACCTAGTTCTGCTCGAGGGCCATCATGTCCTAGGGCTGATTGCTTCCAAATGCCCTTGGTTTTTTGCATTCTTCTTTGCTTCCAATGATAGGAGACCATTAGCTGCATCTTAGATGGCTGCTTGAAAGCTTTTAAGACCCCAGTTGCTACTCACCAATATAGGATGAGGAACAAGATTTTTATGTATTTTGTTGTGCCAATTGAGTCTGGTGTCCCCCAATACTATGGTTCTGAGTCAGTAGATCCATTGGATCTCTATCCCACAGTGTCTGTCTTCTGTTGTTTCTGTAAGGATGGCAGGTATTTTGTACCATTGGTATCTGTGCAAGATTAGCCTCTGCTGAATCTATCCTTGGTCTAAAGTATACTCCTGTTCACTGACTTCCATCTGATCTTCTCAGATGTTTATGTGTTTATCTGTAGCCTGGTGTTTGGTGTTAATGGTAATACAGTATTGTGGATATACTGGTTGGTATTAGCATCTGTTGTCTATATCTTATGTGCACAATTCGGTGTTAACTTTTAATGTGTTCAAAGTCCTATGTTTAAGTGAACGTTATCTTTACCGAAACTTATGGCTGGTAGTATCATCATAGAGTATCTGAGGTTCTCACACTTGAAGAATATGACCTAATAGGTAGCACAGCTAGATTCTGAAGCCTATTCTTGTCACTTAGTAAGCTCGATATTCTTGAACAAATGACCCAACTCCTTTAGGACTGAAATGCTTTTTCATAAAAGGAAGATAATAGTACCAATGGGCTAAAATCTAACTCTAAGATCTGATATTCTTGACTGGAATTTTAAGAGCTATAGTCTATGTGCTGATAGCATAGTGCCTAAGGCACTTGACTGCTAACCAGAAGGCTGGTGGTTCAAACCCACCAGCCACTCCTCGGAAGGAAGCTTGGGCAATCCTACTTCCGTAGTGATACTGCCTCGGAAACCCAAGGAGGGGTCGCTATGAGTCGGGGCCGACTCGACGGCAAATAACAACAACAACAACAACAACATAGTCTATGTGAAGTACACATAAAGGATATCTCATAAAACAGAAAGTTTGTACCTATATGCCCAGAGTAGGTGTTCAACTAAATCAAATTTTACAGTGGGTTGATGGTCTGCATGTGTGACTATACCTTCAGTCAACCTATACAAAGATGTAAAATATGTCATAATCATAGACAAAGGATGAAAGGACATTAAAATTTAGTCATCTTATGCAGTATCTCCTCTTCTATTTCTTCCCACAAATGGATGCTGGCTGACCTTGTAACATATCTAATGCAAGCCTCAGTAGTACAGGTCAAGAGGAAAACATACACACAAGTAGCCAGCTCTGCTGAATATGCTTTTATACCTTACATCATGTTCATTCTAAAACAGTAAAGTCTTTAAATCATAGCAGGAAAGAAATGCTCAAAGTCTTACCTCAAGATTTACCATAACAAAATTATGGGAAAGTTCTGAAATTTCTGTAGATTCTGCAAATTTAGGCTTTAAAGCTAGCAAGGAAGGAAAAAAAAAAAAGATTTTGATTTGAAGACAACCTCACAGTCATACCCAAACCTTAATGAGTATATAAGCATCTGTTGAGTTGGTTTACATAACTGAAACCTTTTTTTTTTCTTTCACTATAAGAAATAGACATCAGAAGACTCTGATTCTGGCTCTGCTTCTGCCACTTATTCACATAGCAATGTGACCTTGAGTGATTTACTTCATTACTTGAAGTTTGACCTCATTTATAAAACGGAGATAATGGCATACAAAAAGAAGAAAAAAATTTTTGGCTTTTTACAGATACATTTCAGTAACTTCAACTGAATAGACAAAAGAGTAACAATACTCTTGTAAAAGGACATACACACATACATATTACATTAATTATTTACACTAATTTTACACTCCTTTTCCAACTAGGATTTTACTAAGTACAGCATAACAAGACTGGAAAATGGCAGGTGGTATAGCAGAAAGAACATATGCTCCAGAATTAGATAATCTTGGTTTCTAATCTTAGAAACCTTCTCCAGGAAGACTTCCCTAACAAATTCTCTTGTCACTCTCTATGTATGATTTCAACTACCTTTAATATTTATTGTCCATACATTTTAGCACTTAATCCCATACTCTACATAAACTGTGGGAGCTCTGGTAGCATAGTGGCTAAGGCAGGCACTTGACCGCTCACCAGAAAGCTGGTGGTTCAAACCCACCAGCCACTCCTCAGAAGGAAGACAGGGCAATCTACTTCTGTAGTAATACTGCCTCGGAAACCCAAGGAGGGGTCGCTATGAGTCGTGTCCAACTCGACGGCCCGTAACAACAACAACACATAAACTGTACCTTAATCACTTTAGTCTCCCTATGACTCCCTGCAAATAAAATTGCATAGTTCTTTAGGAAAAGAAATCATTATTTCATTACTTCTTTTGAATCATTTGAAGCAATCAAGAGTGCTGGGTCAGTCACTGCCAGTATTTGTTAAATCTTGATATTTGAGAACACATCTGAGGCTTGATTTTATATTAAGCACATCTACTTACCTTTGCAAGCTCCACACCAGGATTTATGGATAATCACCATCAGGGGTAAGCCACTTAAAAACAGAACCAAGAAATTATAATCTAGTAAGTCTATTCTTGAAATCTAGTCTAATAAAACGAGACAAAGATTTATGCACAAAGTTGTTCATGTAATATGATTTCAATTGGGAAAATCTTAAGACAACCCAAATGTTCAATAATAGATTACCACAACAAACTTATTGGTACATCTGAAATTCTGCATATTCTGCAAAGTTAGTCTTCTCCCTGCAAAGCTAAGAAGACTGTGAGATAGAAGAAATCGTATTTCCATAAGTTGTGGTTATATAAACATTGGAAATATTAACAATTTTCACTGTTGTAATAATAATTAAAAAACTATACTTACCTATAAGCCTGATTTTAATTAAACAAATACATACACAGAAAAAGACCCAAAAAAGAAATGTATTAAAATCTAATAGCAGTTTCTCTATGGCTGGTAGGAGTGGATTTTTTTTTTTTTTTTTGTATTTTCTAAAATTAAATGTTTCTTTTTGCTTTTTTCTTAAATAATGAGCAATATAACCCACCTGTACCAGTCTTAAGCCAGGTGGAGCTCTTAAGCTATTAAGGCTCAAATACCATCTTGTAGGAGGGCCCTGTGTAGGAAGCTATTGGCTTTCTACATCACACTACCACCATACCACCAAACTGCCACAACCCTTATTATAGCTCTCACCAGACTTACCACAGTAAACTAGTATCTATTATCTACTCCTCTACTCATGGACTTGGGCTTCCTGAGGGAAGAACTCTCTTTACTGTCTGTATTCCTAATACTTGGCATGTAGAATATTGATAGCAAACACTTTTAGAGTATTTACTACTCTAAATTATGTACATAAATTAACTCCTC